TTTGATATATGAATTGTACGAATCGGACAAAAACTGTGGGACGAGTTAGATGCCGAAAAACGTACAATTTAGAGAAAAACGAAAGCAATAGGTTGAATGCCTAAAGGCATTCACCCAATTATAACTTCTTCCTTTTTGTTAAAAAGTCCAACTCATCTTTGTTTGAAACAAGAGATTGCATCAAGCTTGAAATCGCTTTAAAAGGACTTGTTGGGCTTCTTATTCAAAACGGTTGTGTTGCAACATGAATAGCTGTCTCCTGTGTCACGCAGGTCACATATCATGTTTGCTCTTGTGTTTTTTTTTTATAACAGATTCAGAGATGGTTGCCACACTGACCTCAGGTGCTCGTAAATAAAACTACAAAACATATTCTGGTTCAAACCTGAATTCAGACAGCAACACATGCTGATCATAACAGGCTTTGATATCTTTTTATTATCTTTAAATAATCACCATTATTGTATTACAGCTTCATTTACTGTATTTTAACTAATCCTAATGGTTGCCACAGTATTTAATTATCTTTTCAGGCATGTGGAAAATGCAAATAATCATTACAGAACTACTGAGGAGGTTTCATTTCAGCCTTGAACTCATACAACTACATTCATGTTCTATAACAGGACAAGACTAGATTAGACTGTTTCCTGTAGGAGGAGGAGGAGCCAACTGAACAGTCAGTAGAAAACACCTGGGAGGTGAACAGAAGGAGGAGCAGGACCAACATGATGCACTGTGATTGGAAGATTCCAGCAGAGGAGGAAGAGAGTTCCAGTGTGGTCTCTGATTTAATCTGAGCTCATAATTTTTTTCTCTCTCACTACTCAAGCTGCTGGGAAGCCAGTGGCGCTTTCGTACCAAACACCTTTCTAGCACACCTGAGCTTCAGATTGCAGCATGCAGCAACCAGGCAGGCAGAGGCTGAGGCCGTGGCTGGAAGAGCAGATTCAGTCTGGGAAGTACCCAGGTGTCAGTTGGCTGGACCAGGTTAGACCCTTACACTCCTATCCACTTTCCTCTCATCTTTTATTCACACCTGAGCTTATGCTGGTTCCTAAGAATAATTAGAAATATGGTATTTTATCTCTCCTTACAGTCAGCGTGCATCTTCCAAATCCCGTGGAAACATGCAGCTCGTCATGGCTGGAGCATTGACCGGGATGCCACGCTCTTCAGGAGCTGGGCCATGCACACTGGTAAGAGTCACAAATGAAGACTGTTTTCTCTCATCTGATGAGACCTGATCAGTGTGACCAGGGCTATTCAACTAAATTGCTCCGGGGGCCAAAGTTACTGCCGGTCAACAGCTGAGGGGCCGAACATCCAGCAATTAAAGTTATTATGTAAATAAACCAAGTATTACAAAGATCTGTTACCTTTGAATTAGTTTATTTTGCTGCATTTAATCATGAATACAATATACACAACCCTATAAAAGTAGTGATAATTACACATTATCAAAAATAAGAACACATCATGCCTCCTATTATTAGACACAAATAATATTTTGACGTCTCTGACTTGCAAAATTTTAAAACAATTTTATTTTCACTTTCATCATTTTATCTTCAACTATCTTGCGTGTTTATAGAAATTGTTTTTACCAGCTTCTAGCCAAGATTCTGACGTTTCTGTAGATACCAAACATGTCTTTGTTTAACTAAAAGAACTTAGAGTAATTAAAGTAGAAAACTGAGGGTTTGGGCTTAAGAGATGAATGAACCAATTGGCGGGCCGAACTTTGGTCACTCGCGGGCCGCCAGTTGAATAGCCCTGAGTTAGACCAAATGCATTTACTCCATCAGTTTTATAATGTCTTGAAGGGTCATTACATGCAAATGCTCTGTAGAAGAGCAGCACATGTAAGAAAGGCTTTAAAGCATCTAACAGTGGGGTTATCAGGGTCAAAGTATCGTGAACTCTATATATACAGTATATATA